TGCTAGCTGCTTTAAGTAGTTAATAATCTGTTTAAGATCGATAAGATGGAGGTCAGTACTCTTCAGGTTTCTGAGGGGGTGGTGGTCATTTTTCTTTAGACATTTTTTTTACAGAAAAAGGGTTAACTTTCACATTGAACATTGAATGGTGGTCAAAATTCAATTGGGGTCAACTAACTTTGTTACACCGGTATTGGACTGGGATATTGTCACAGGAAAGTCAAGAAAAGTAATCACAAATAAACAAATAAACGAATGGAAAGTAAAAGCAACTTATTATCTTACATATTTTCGGAAGTCGTGAAGTTCTTTTAACCTAGGATCGTCAACATATCTATCAAAATACTGTCCTAAAGAATGTAGTATTCCCTGCATTGGTGGTACTTTTTTCTATGATGTGTATATCTATTACGTTTCATGTTGTTCTTGCCATATTTCTGGTCTCGAAAATTGTTCTGTGCATTTATTTTACGGACATGGTTTCTCCAAGCTTCCATTCTTTTAGCCTCTGTTAAACTGAAGCTATGATGCTGAGGTGGATTGGCACGTGCGCGTTTATAGTTGTTAGCAGAAGATCTGTTGTAAAAAGAATGGACAGCCATTTTTTTGTTGAGAATTCCACGAGATAAATTACGATGTAGACTTCCATGAGGGTATATTATGTTGCCAACAGTATTGGGATTAACAGCCATTTTTCTGTTTAGACTTTCACGAGACAAATTAATCTGCGGACGAGCACGTGCATATATAATATTGCCATGTTTCACATTGGGACTTCCCTGATCCGAATTATTAAGCAGACGAGCACTTTGATGTTTTACAACACCAGTAGACGATTTGTTGAAATGCGAATCAATAGTTATTTTTCTGTCAAAGCTAGTCTGGGATAGACGACCATTTGTGCGTTCCACGTGATATGCAGACGAATTTTTGTGACCACCCGCGTGCCTGTGATCGTCATTAGCTTGAGACAAGTTGTTGAAAAGACGAGCTTGTACATATGTTTCATTGTCTGCAGACGTAATGTTACTAGTAAAGTAAGAAAAAGTAGTCCGTCTCCGAATTTTATACATGTACGTGGAATATATTGTGTTTCCTTTGATGTGTATCTGGGTTATGTATAACCAAAATACATTGCTGAATAGTATCCCAAAAACGAAATACTTTAAAGTTATTTTTATTGATAAGATTTTTAAAATCCTTTTCCTTGTCACATTTAAACATCGAGGCTTTTCCGTTTTCATTATATTTTTTATTCACTATACATAGATCCATTTTATTTTTACTATGCGTTCACGTTCTACATGAACAAAAGATTGGTATCCTATTACATTTTTAACTGAATGTTCAACCTAGTTGTATGGTAGAGGTCACGAGAATAAAAAAATATATACATTGTCCCGTATATAATTATATTGGGTTAGATGTACATCGTTTAAAAAAAAAATCAAGTAATGAGTTGTCATTGATTATTATATAGCCAGCCAGTTCTGCTGCTTTTGAAGATATATTGTTATAGTTTACTGACTAATTGATATGCGGCACTGGCTTTTTTTTAATCAATTACAGATATTTATATTTTTTCTCTTAACGTGACATTAGACGCGCCATGTTTTTGTATGGAAGGGAATATCCGCAAAATCAAATACAATTCCATTCATGTAAATTACTTATTCTTACATGTAAAATACATTGATTTAATTTTGAATCAATATTTTAATATTCTTTGTCCCTATTTCTAATTTCTGTGTCCCATTTTCTAATTTTTTGTATGTAAATTCACACTTAAAGCTGCATGCTTTCAGATGAGCCAAACTATTTCAAGAAATTCAATCTTTAGAAAAATGTATTAATATCTTAAGAAAAGTAAAACTATTCAATATTAGCTTAATTATTTACATGTTATGTGCGTTTAATGACTGATGTTTCAGTATATATTTCTACTGCGTTACTAACGCAGTAAGAGGTATTTATGTATATTTTGAAATCTTTTTGGTAATATAATATATTTTGGATTGTTAGTGCCGTTTGCAATGTGTAAATTACTTTCTTTGTTTACTTCACAATAATTTTACTTTTAAATTTTCAAAAAATTGCATGACAATAAGCATGAATCTTGAGGCATGCTGCTTGAATATGTAAATTATGCTGCGAAAATCCGACATAAATTATTATATGTGCCAATTTCATGTTTAATTTAAATGTTCATGTTTGTAAATTGTTCTTATGAAATAAAATTTGTTGTGTAAAACGTAATAATTGTCAAAATGTGTTTTATAACACGAAAATGTAATTGTTTTAACTTCTAAAAGTTATTGTTTATAAATCAATGTTTCTGTCAACAAAGAATATAATGTATTTCAAAACATAAAAGTTAAGTTTTCGAAATTTATATTTGAAGTTTAGAATTTAGCATGTTATAGGACTTTAAGACAATGTGATATAAATAGAATACGAGGTTCCCCTTACAGAACGCATCGTAAGGGTACGTGGGATCAGCGTAAATCTTAACGGTTGAGGTGTGCGTAACTTCCTAACATTTTAGAGAGAACCGCCTCTCTGATAGTGGGCACGGTTTATACTTTGCATTGTAAGTCTGCTCAGGAGCAGGATATTATCTCAGGGCTCGGGTTTTAGAATAAGTGATGTTTGCATAACTTGGCATAAATAACTTGGCATAAATAGAGGATATTGTGTGAGTGTAAGTTCAGTACTGAATTTTTTGAACGAGTTGACTAGAATTATAAAGTGCGAACCTTTGGCAAGCATATAGTATTAGTTCAAGAAATTCAATAGTGATCCTACACGAATATAATATTCTATTTATCACATACCCAAGGTAAAAAACTGTTTGAAGTTGGTGTCGTATGTCATTTGATTGGCAAGTAAGTTAGGAGAACTTACGTGTTGAGAAAGCGTGTTGAATAGCTGATAAAATGAATGGGAAAATCATAATAAAATTACGTATGCCATTGACCAGAAATTTGTATTGCAGGAAAGCATGATAATTAAGACAGCTAGTAAACATGCGTAAAAACAACGATAATTTTTATATGAAAGTAAATATCAGTTATAGTATTTACGAACATGCTCAATCTTTTTGGTGTTTCAAAATGTTTAGTGTTTAAATAGTTGATACAGTCGGATTAAAATCAGTTCTAAATAATGTCCGCTTTAAGATCTGAACGTGACCCAATACGAAATCATTTTTGGTGACATTTCACACAGCCAATCATCGGTGAGCTTTAATAATTTTGAAATCGATGTGGTTTCTAATTTAAACCATGGGAAAATCAATAGTTCCATATAGCCGACAGGTAAACTGGCAAAACATTCTTGCCCATTAAAAATTAACTCTATTGTTTCAAGTAATTGTTTTAAAAATTACTTCAAACATTTTTGTTCTTGTTAAAAATTAATTCAAACATTTTTTTCTAACAAAACTTCCACTTCTTCTAAAGCTCTAATTCCTTTGTTAAAACCGGTTTGATTGCATGATTAAGAATATATTTATTAACATATAGGGTCGTCATTAGATCTACATAAAAGAAATATGTAGATCTGACTATAGTCAGATTGATAGTTGATTATACTTGATGTCATTTGGATTCGTTTAATAATACTTTGGAATCAATTATGTCCTTTTATTTCTAAATAATTTACACAATATGATTGCATTATATTCATCACTAAATGTTTGACATTCTTTCAGAATTTCTTTCATTAAATAGAGTATTATTGTAATGGAGTTTTTCAACGGACAGTCTATAATTTGATGTCTGAAATTTCAGAAGGGGTTAGTAAATAATATCTTGGTAAAATTGTAAGATATTCTTCACGTTTGTGCTGCTGTTTGAAAAGATAATACAGATTACCTTTGTTTGATACCTGTAATTTTGCATTCCAGTCAGCGATCAAGTGATCTACGAGTGCTTGTTTTATTAAGATATATATATGCTTTTTTTGAGTTATAAAAACAAATATTAGCGACATTGAATGTTACAATTGTGACATTTAATGGTAGAATATTTTGCGACATTAAGCGGCGATTACGACATTTAGTGGATATGGTGCGGCATTTAGAGGCAAGTGCGACATTCAGCGTCGTTGCGACATATAACGGGCCACAACAAGAATTGATCAAAATATTCTAAACAAATTCTGACCATCTAAATGGGCTTTAACCATGAACCATTATCGTAAAACTAACACTTTAATACTCATTTGATCGCTATGTATAATTTTATTCCAAAACTTTATGATTCTGCTTTGAATGGATATGTTTATTGGATATCTGCAAGTTTCACCATATAGCATATAAGCCGGGGTACTTTTTTCTTGAGTTTGTAATTATTCTATGAAATTCTAAGTGGACTTTATGTCGTATTAAATTCTACTCCCTAATATTCGCATGAGCATGTGAATGTATTGAATCATTTTCTTTCAATTCTTACGTTGAATTCTGTTTAAGCTTTAAGCCGATGCTAGGGAACATGGACAGAAGCTTGAATTATCCTCCATCGCCATCCATAAAGAGATTCAACTAACCAGAGCATGCAGCTTGAAATAAAACAACCTTCCCTTAATGTTCACAACCTTATTGTGTCCCGTGCGTTATCTCCCTGTAGAAATTTAAGGATAATCAATAAAGTAAACAATTACCTGTCGAAATGTATGTAACACTGAAAAGTAACAAACCCAACAAGGATTTCATTCTCTTAAGCCGCAAGTATCGTATATCTGTCTAACAATGGTCACATGAAGTGCCGAGCTATATGTTGAATTTGACTGACATATTTTATCTTAAATATTACATGCATATAATACTGCTCAAAAACAATCGGCCATTTATAAAGGTGTTTAATAAAGGTGTGCACAATACTGGCATTGTTCAAACGAACAAATTGACTTTGAGTATATTTTTACAACAAAATATGTCCATATTGATCAACTAGAAAGTCATATTATTTTACGAACCTGATCGAATAATTGATACCATGAAAGTAGATACATTTTGTTTTGTAAACATTTATATCGTGTACATATCAAATATCAAAATCAAACAGAAAATATAAAATAAGTCTATGTACAAACTCCTCATTGATATAATGTTGATTTTATTCGAGGGCTTTCTTGGCTCATTGCTTTTTGCATGTATCATCTATATTACATTCTCTTCTTCCGTTTCAGGTACCGGTTGATGATTTGATTTATCACGGTTTGAGACGTGTTTAAACCCGATACCTTTGATTCCTGAATCATATGTAGATACACATTGAATGCGAATCATTCCTGTGTCACTAGTAACAAGTTCCTTGTTTGCACTGCATCTGGCTTCAAGTTCTAATTCACTGCTGCAGCTGTATCGGATGGTGACATTGACGATATACGGAGCGGTCCTTTTCTCTAACAATAAAGGTTTTGTTAGATTTACTTCAGTATCTGTTGCATTAAATTGCTGCACTTTGAATTCCTCTTCAAAGCCTATGTCATTGACACTGATACTTCCCGAAAGAAAAAAACATAAATTCACAGGAAGTTTGAACCGATCTATTTTAACCATTTTTGAAGCGTAGTAATTCCGATGTCTTGGACGCTCGAGGGTTGAAATTTTCACGACTTGCTCTTGAAAGAAATTGTATTTAATGTTCTTGGGCTGCGAATAGTCGAAACGGGCGTCCCCGACAAAAGTTTTATTACCTCCACTGGTATAGATATCTTGCGTGTTTACCAAATACGGATTGATATCACCAAGGACAAGACGAGACAAGAAGGCACTCTTAAGCATAGTAGTTTCGAAGGAAATATGAAGATTTTTGAAGTATCTTGTTTCTCCATCTTGGTTATTTACATTCACTGTTTCAAGTTCGTGTACTCTTGCTAGGCACGAGTTAGTAGTAACGGATATATTTTCGTTTTTGTGAATAAATGCCGCAATATCTGCATATTCTTCAACAGAAAAATATCCCTTTCTGCTTACTGACTCGCGATATGTTTGAGAAGACATTGTGGGCAGTCTCAAAAAGTAAAACGATTTTCCGATACGTTTACGTATATCTGTACCGCTCACTGCCACATCTTTCTCTCCCAATTTTCTGCGTGCCCAACTTTCCACTGCTTCTAAAATGTATTCTTCCTCAGCATAAAGTGTATCCCCTTTAAGAATATATAAAAGACAATCTTCAGATATGTTCATGAAACTTTCCGTTTGTATAACGTCTTGTGCGTGACTATCAATAAAGGAACAACATGCGTCTCTCAGGCCATACAGGTTGTAAAACCTTGCTAACGTCAGAGTTTCACATACATTACTTGCTGTTAATACAGTTTTTAAAAACTCTGAACATAACTTAACAAGATTTGTCACCTGGTAATAATGAGCCATTTCCAAAACTGCAAAAGCAGTACCTTCTGTTAACGTAATCGAGTCACTGTATATGTACCTGTAAAAGACAAACAGATTATGTTAATTTTTTTTTTAAATCATTCATTTTTAACTTGGCACCAAAGTATGATCAAAATATTCACAGACCATATAGAATAATACATTTTTCTTAGAAAAAAATATAATATTGTGATCTTAAATAACAACAACAATACCAAAAAAACTGACAAAATATTTAGGTTCTTACACAAGGAAGAAAAATAAGATGTTCTTACACAAGGAAGAAAAATAAGGTGTTCTTAAACAGTGAGAAAAAATGATATTTTCTTACTCAAGAAAGGAAAAAGTTCTTACACATTCATACACAAGGAAGAAAATTAAGATGTTCTTACACAAGGAAGAACAAAAAAGAATTTCTAACACAAGGAAGAAGAACAAAAAAAAAGTTGAACTTACACAAGGAAAAAAGTTCGTTCAGAAGGAAAAGGAAGAAGAATAAGTACTTCTTTAGCAAGGAAGAAAAAATAAGAAGTTCTTAGCCACGGAAGAAAAATAAAATGTTCTTGCAGAAGGAAGAAAGATAAGAAAATCTTATAGAAGGGAAAAAGAAGTTCTTATACAAGGAAGAAAAAGAAAGTTCTTACAAAAGGAAAAAAAGAAGTGATTACACATAGAAAAAAAGGTCTTACACATGGAAGAAAATAAAAGTTCTTACACAAGGAGAAACAAAAAAAGAAGTTCTTACACAAGGAAAAACAAAAAAAGAAGTTCTTACGCAAGAAAGAACACCAGGAAAAAAGAAGTTCTTCCACAAGGAAGAAAAGAAGAAGTTCCTACTCAAGGAAGAAAAAATAAGTAAGAAATATGATGTTCTCATATAAATGAGAACAAAAAAAAAGTTCTTACACACGGGACAAAAATGAAAAGTTCTTACACAAGGAATAAATAAAGTATCTCTTTCTCTTTATCTTTAAGCTCTACTACATCTGTTGTGTCAGCACAGGGACCGAAGAACATCGCCTGAAATACGGAACTTCTAGCTGCAAGCACATTTTTGTGTGCTTTAATCACTCCCTCCCCTTTATCATGGTCCATACATTTAAATACGACATCTGTCCAGAGACCCTGTTGAAACAATTCCAACATGCATTGTCCTAGATTCTTTCCGTCTTGCCAATCTTTCTTTACTTCCTGCATAACACACTCTTTGCTAGCATCTGCCATCCAAATTATTTTTAAAACTGATACTTCTGATACTGAATCTGCAAAAAAATGTCTTGTTACATAAATTTACCTCAATAATATACCGCGGTAAACGAAGAGAGGCGGAACAAGAAACATAAATTACACAAACCACTTACTGTACTAGTAGTTGAAAACCAAGTGACTCCCTTAAAAATTGATTCGTTTATATCCTTTGATGAAAATTATATAATACCTTAGTGTTAAATATCCGAGTATAAAGCTGTATTGTTGTTTAATACAACGCTTTATCTCGATACGCATGGGTACAAAAATGATATATTATGTTTAATGGAGCTAATTCAGTTGTGATATGAAATTTTCTATATCAGAACGTGTCCAGTAAAGACAAATGAGCCGCGTCACAACAAAACCAACATAATGGGTTTGCGACCAGCATGGACCCAGACCAGCCTGTGCATCCGCGCAGTCTGATCATGATCCATGTTGTTCGCTATCAGTTTCTCTACTTGTTATAGAGTTTTAAGCGAACAGCATGGATCCTGATCAGACTGCGCGGATGCGCAGGCTGGTCTGGATCCATGCTGGTCGCAAACACACTATGATGGTTTTGTCATGACGCGGCTCAAATGTAGTAAACAAACTCTTGCTAAATGACATATTAGCCTACTTCCTTAATCGTTATATCTCGTGATGTCATTCACTTTATTCTCTCTATAATTCTTCATCATCATATGTTTGTTGAAACTCACAAAGACGTCATAATAAACTTCGCCAAGAAGTACAAAGTAGCATTCAGAATGTACTATGGGCAGCGACATATTGATTATAATATTTGGAACTAATAGCAGATGACAGAAAACAGTATACTTGTAATCATTGAACAAACCAAGCCAAGTTTAGTAACAAAATAGCAAATTGATATTCTTCATCATTCATTTTATTTCAACTATAATTGAAATGCACGAGTCCAGATGTTTAATTGCATCAGAAAAGCAACAAAAAGTGTACTTCAATGTTTAACTGTCCGATCAGTCAGTCAAAGCAAATAACATTGCTAAAAAGAGTGCAATTTATTTATCGGTTACGACAATTAATCTCTCGCAAGTCGGCATCGATGGTGACATTATAAACAGTCGTTATACGTTTTCAATATCTCTCCCTTACACGTTACAAGTTCTTCACGATTGTATGGATTGGCATCATAAATTTGATGAAGAAAAATTCAACACGATTGTATGTTAAAATAAAAGAACTTTACTAAAATATATTGTTATGCTCAAATTTGATATTTTGAAAATACACATTATTGTTTTACAGCCTTTTTGAGTACAAACACAGAAGATATGTAGATCTTTAAATTAAGAACAAAAAAAAATAAACATAATTACGATATAACATTAGAATAAAACTTCGCACTAGAATACTTCATTTTCGAAGCCGTCATTCATTTAAATACGAAACACCGTGATCAATAAAGAAAAGGTAAATTTGTGTCAAGAAAAAAAGTACATCTTACCTTTGAAGGTACCACACTATTTCGTTTCTTGGCGAGTTATTGAAAAGTCCACTGGAGCAAATGTAGAAACCTTTGCACTGATATGCTTAAAAAATAATATTAATCGATTCCTACACCCACGTTAGCGTTACCTGAGATAACCTGTTAATATTATCGGAATGTTTAAGTGCTTTCTTTATCAGATACTCGAATATGTTGTAAGCTTAGATTAAATTGTTGTTTCATGTATTTATATCATTTAAATAATTTGCAACTTGTTTGTTTGGTTTGAATTCATAGCGACACTGATATGAAAGAAGCGTATGCCAAATATCTACTCAAACTGATGAGGCCTAGAAGACACACGAGTAATAAGACCTTCCATGCATAATTTTAGTCACGAATAAGCACATCCGGCAAGTGATCATTACCACGCGATCGCCCCTCCTCGAATCCCTACATACTTTAATGGAGGGCTATTTTTTTTCTGATAAAAAATCGTGTTTACGTTGTTAACACATCTGTGCCTATTCTTAAACCGGAGCCGTTTCAGCTCCAAGTATTTGGTAGTCATAACTGTTCAAACATGCTTGTATTTTAAAACGATAACATACCTTACTGTGATCGTGTAAGTGGGTGCATGTTTCAACGACTTTCTGATAACCTCGTTTATAAGTTGATTTATTCTAATTTTTTTTTATCGTGTAATACCAATTATGTTGAAGTGCAGCACAGTAAAGAAGCAGTGCAAGGGAGGGGACACTACGTAGGAGTTTGGATCGGTTTTCACGTATAATGACCTATGCCCTGGAGCATTTAAGCCTCTGAAAAATATAGTGATCGTCTTCTTTTTTTCAGGGTCTTTCAAATAGAATTTTTATGAAAGACCCTGTTCTCTTGTATAATATATTTTATTTGTTGATTTGTATTGTACAAAGTGGTGAGATAGAATATACTCAGTACGTATGTCAGTTTAACAGATATGAAGTACATGAGTGAAACGCAAACATAAATTAATATCTTAATTTTTGCGTTCTAACAAATAAATTGTTAATAAAAACTGGAAACAAACTTTACCTGTAAAGGCATAATTATATTGTGAATATCAAATATTTTGTACATTAACATATGTACTGTTCGTTATTTAAATTGTGAATATGCTGCTATTATGTCTTCATGGGCTTCATTAAGCCATAATTGAGTGAAATTGTCTGTCATACTTGCAATTAATGTATTTAAGTTTTTTATGAAATAAAGATAAATAATCAATTTTGTAGTATGTTAGGAGGTTATAATTGTAATAATACACAACTTTAGAAATAAGTAAATATTGATCTATCACTAAAGGTGTTTAATACCCACACCAGCAACTTTGACTTTTTGAAAAATAAGTGGTCTGAAGTTATATTTGGACTCAACCTTTAATTAATGAAGCATCAACTGTGTACAAAGAAGTATTTCAATTAATTGCAATCCCAACTAGGATCTTCATTACAACGTGTTTTATACGAAATTTTAGTGTAATATCTCATTCCTAACTCTTATAAATGTCCGAAAATTATTTTTCTATTTTTTGATATAGTAACCCTTGACCCCAGGGGTCCAAATTCCATCCCAACCAGGGATCCCATATAAGATTGCTTAATATCAAGTTTGATTACAATATCTCATATCTAACTAATGTTATCTTTCGCGAACAATTTTTCTGTTTTAAGTAACGGTGACCTTGACCCCAGGGGGTCCAAAAGCAATCCCAACCGGGGTCTTCAAATTAGCTCGCTATAAACCAAGTTTGATAACCTTTTTCATTCCTTACTCTAGTTATTGTTTGAAACCAGTTTTGTATTTTTAGTAACGGTGACCTTGACCCGAGTGAGTCCAAATGCAATTCCAACCGGCGTCTTCGTAGATTCTTGCTATATACCATGTTTGATAACAATATTATATTTTTAACTCTAGTTATGGTCTGGAAACCATTTTTCAATTTTTAGAAAGGGTGACATTGACTTTGACCTTAGGGGGTCCTAATGCAAAAAATATCGGGGTTTCAATATAAGGTTGCTATAAAGCAAGTTTGATTACAATACCTCATTCCAAACTCTTATGTCCGGAAACCATGATGTGGACCGACGGGACAGATTGACAGACCGTTCAACTGACTCCTATATACCCCCCTAAACTTCGTTTATTGGTGCATATTTAGCGACACAGAAACACGTCTTTAACAATTGATACGAATAAAGACACAAATGTGTAGCATAATCAGATATTTTGAATATAGTGTTACTTTTATTAGACAAATGCACTATATAAAGTAGCTTTATATCTTAAGTAAAATCTTTGATTGATTCCAAAATATTCCATATTATTTCTTTTTTTAAAAATGGCCATATTGTTTCCTATCAATTGTAAAAATTGGAATCAATCTGCTTAAAATTAGCTCTAAATAACGCTCCGCTTTTTTTTGAGCGCGACCATATACGTTATTATTTCTGGTGACTATACACACAGCCAATCATTGGAAGGATTTCATAATTTTGAAAGCGATGTGGTTTCTAATTTTTAACCCTGAGAAAATCATTTTGGGAACAAACATGGCATTGTCCATAAAGCCGGCAGATAAACTGGCAAAATGATCTTGCCCATTAAAAAATACTCTATTTTTTAAGTAATTTGTTAAAAATTTCTTAAAACATTTTTTTTTCGAACACAAATTAACAATTTGTTTAACTTCCGCGTATAACGGTATTTTGATACTTCTTTAAATGCCTATGTAAAAACCGGTTTGATTGCATGGCTAAAAATAGCTTTCTCGGGAAATCCGAATTATAGAGAAGGCGAAACTTATACCGTCGTCATCAGATCTACATAAAAGAAATAAGTAGATCTAAACTTTAGTTAGATTGAATTGGAATGCAAGTATTACTGAACTGGTCTAGCTTGACCTTCACAACAAACATTATGTATTTAATGATTTATTCTTTAAAGCTGTTTCAGTTTCATTAAACAAAATGTAAATAATAAACGCCTTCTACAAAATAATACATTTAACTTGACTCCTGAATGTAGATTTGTGAAGGCTCTCTTGTTTATTGCACATTTTATATACATGATAAATAAAAAGCTCTACGGGTATCATGATATTTCGTTAGCAATTTTATTGTTTAAAATTATAATATTGACCACCAGATACAAAATCTACCCAACTGCATGACTGCCATTTCTGAAACAAAATAAAAGCAGTTGAACAAATCGTTTCACTATAAATTGAAGAAAAAGATATCCTACTACATATATTATCACATTTAGCAAGTATATAACGGTCAAATTTATGTTAACTGAGTACTTTGCGCCTCGTGCACAGCCCACACATCCCAAACGCTGTATATTGTTTTGCTCATGTCAGAAAATAGATAGCTATGCTTGGTGAGGACTTGACGATTTACAATGAAACAGTTGCACTTTACCTAGTTCAAAGTCTACAGATATTGAATGTATTTTGAACTCAAAACGATTTCTGTAAGATAACCAGAGCATTGAAGCGCATTCAGTTGCCAAACTCCAAAGGCCTATGGTCAGCAAACGTATTGCGCACTTTCACCAAGCGACTGGCTGTCATTATGGGCATCTGTTTTATTCGGTTTCAAGTCAAATGGACAATGTGCAGATCATATGGGGATTATCCGGCTACACTTCATATACTTCTTCATGTATCATTTAAAGTACGAGCGGGAGACTGAGTAAAACTACCGCTCTAATATGTAAGCTTTCTAGGATAGCTTCCTCACACAGAAGAATCCAAAGTCCCTGATTGGAATCAAACCTACAGAGATAAGAGACCTTAATCCAAAGTGATTTGAAGTCATCAGCCATGACCATTTACTAGCCCTTGAAAACCCATACCCGCTCTATTGGTATATATGTTTCATAGACAGCCTCTGTTTATATATAAGTGACGCTTTGGTAAAAATAGCTTACAAACAGCAGCAAGCAGCTCAACTTGGTTTAATAATACAGATGTACATTCAACAGCGTTTAGGTAAGTTTCTACAGTTTCTGGAGTCAGATGATTTCAATAAAGAGAAGGCAACCCAACATGTTAAAGATGTGTTTGCTATGTCAACTAAGGCTCTTGACCAGTTAGGCCCCTCAGGGCCGTTCAGCCATGACTGATACTGCTCTTTTTAAGCAACCAGACAATTTGGAATATTCTAATTTACCTTTAATGTGTGAGGGTGTGTTTGGTGCTGGTTTGGAGTCTTTATTAAAAGCTCGCAAATAGAAAAAGAAACAAATTGATGATTTAATTCCAGAAGTCAGAAGGTCTGGCTTAAAAAGGAAGTTCTCGGGTGCTCAATCTGATTCGAGTAAAAGACCAACACCAGATAGATTTCTTATCCCAAGACTGTCAAGAGATAACACTGACAGCAGAACACAGTCAAATTATAAGTCGAGGGGCAGTAATGGTAGTTTCCCAACACGATCAACATCCTTTTTAGGTAGAGGAAAGTAGGCAAAATCAGATGGCAAATGACTCTGTAAGTATAATTGCAAAATGGCCGGAGATACCCGTTGAGGGGGACTTTCTCTTATCCTTCCAGAATGGGAGAAAATAGCCACAGACAAATGGGTGTTCGAATTAATCAAACACGCTTAGTTTCTGAAAAAATCATCTTTAAATGGTATAAAATCTATAAAAGTTTCTTTAAAAGACGAAGCTGCTAAAAGTTCAAAAATCAATAATCTTTTAGACAAAAAAGTTCTAGAAATTTTATCTCCAAACACAATTTATTCAGGTTTTTACAGATCGTTGTTTCTAGTGACAAAAAGACTGGGGATTTGAGACCAGTCATAAACTTGAAACCCCTCAATGAGTATCAAACAATACAATAAAATGGACACATTATCAAAGTGTTGAACCTGATCGAAACAGGAGACTGGGTTCTCACTCTAGACGCATATTTCCACTTAGAGATATTTAAGGGTCATCGGCAATATCTCCGTTTTCAATACAAGGGTGTTGTTTACCAGTTTCGCACTCCATGTCAAGAGCTTTTGTCAAAATGATATCTGTAGTGGTTGCACACCTACTGTAGTGGTTGCACACCTACGAAAGCCAATGTGCATCTTGCCAGTTACCTGGACGATTTGGTTAATCAAAAGAAAGATTTTCTTTTAAAACAGAGCACTGGTTCTCAGTTTTTTATCGTTAAGGGTTCATTGTAAACAAAAACAAATCAGAATTAGTACCTGTTCAGTCATTGACTTACATACGGGCTCGTTCCGATCTGATAAACGGCAGTGTCCCCCCAACTTTAGAAATACTAAAAATTAAAAATATCTGTCAAACATTCTGGCAGGTCAAACAAGAGCAAGACATTATCTGATTCTCTTGGGCACAATTACATCTTGTCTGGAAATGATTGCAATTGTAAGGTTGTTCATGAGAGAAATTAAACTGCATTTGCGTCAGCATTGCAGTCTGCATGAATGGTTCTTTCTTATATGGTTCCTTTAACATCTCAGCT